TAAATAAATTACTTATTAAAAAAAATACGTTCATAGTTATACGCAAACGAACAATTTATTATAGTTGAAAAAAATTTTCCTTTTATCAGTAAATTTTTTTTTCAATGTAACATACGTGTTAAATATGTAACATTTATTTTGTTCAAAAGTTTAAAGGGGGATTCTAATTGTATTATATTTCTAAATTTATGATAAAATTTTAATTAATTTATAATATATTTTCAAAAGTGACGAAAGCACCATTTAGTGACATGTAACTGATTTTGCCCCAATTTGTGACACATGTATGCCTATATTATTGACAGATAAATGAACGTACACGGACATTATTGATAGACAAAAATCATTATTCCAATGTTACAAATTGATACAAAATTATGAAGATCTTTGTTACTGACTTAAATATAACAGTTTATAGACTAAATATTCATATTTGTATTATTTATTAAATTTTAAAGGAATAAGTTATAATCTTGATATTATTTCTTAACTTTATAATGAATAAAATTTACAACTCATATTTTCTTGTGAAGAATAAATATCAAATATAATATAATAACGTTTTCTCTTTGAGAAGAAATAGGAATATTTATATCATTTTATATCATATTTATTATATCATATATCATTTTATATCATATTTATTTAGGTAGTCAGTAGTAGAGAGAAATAAATATTCCAGTGCCGGTTAGTGACATACACAAATTAATTACAAGAAAAAAATATGTACTTTGTTATTTTTTTCACTTGCAAAATATTCTTTAATTTTTCTTCGATGACAATACGATTTCAATCGTTCGAGGTTAAAAACAGTTACAAAGAAATACCAAAAAGACACTTTATATTAGACGGCCAATTTTTAAGATGTCGGTGAACAACTGTTCGAACCGTCACCGTTAGCAGCACGCTTATAATTACGATATCCCAGCATTCACTATGGCTTTTAATTTAATCCAAAATTTGTTATCACTGATAATCTACAAAATTTAGAGTAAAAACGCATTATTTCGGATAAACACCGGGAAAACTATATTGCTTGAATTATTTGAATTATAACGAAAAGGACAGACGCGATCACAAATTGGGACACTTTCGCTAATTGGGACATTCACTTTATCACATATTCGACGAGTCACGCACATTCGGAGAAGCAGCGACGGAAATAGATATCGCTCGCGTATTATACGGTACGTTACCGGGCGTGTACGCTATTACGTAAATGCTACGAACGTGTCGCGCAATACCGTGCGAACGCACGAGAGTGGAGGACTGCATTTCTATTCAAGAACCCATAACCATCGCGCGACCCGTCAAATACGATGGAGGGCGAGAGGATTCCGCGCGGGTGCGCGCTCGCTCGCTCGTTCGCGATATTTTCGCCAGCACGTTTGCGCCGGAAAATACGGCGCAAGAAGGACGAGAGAGTGGGACTTACCTTGCCGCGCTTCGTGTACTTGAGGTACTGGTAGTGATGATTGTCATAATTGAAGTCGCGCGGGGTGAGGGTGATGTCGTGGCTGCGACCCATCTTGCCCATGAGCGTCTTCTTCCTCTGCATCTGCATCTTCTTCGTGTACGTGCGCAGATCGGCGCCTGCGAGAGGGAGAGAGACAGAGGTGGGGGGGATTTCGTCCGATTAATACACTCTTACTACGCCGGGCATATACTGATTGCAGTCGCGGCGAAATTACATTTCGCCCCGGCGCAACGTCGAAAATACTTGGTTCGTTAGCCCGAATCAACTCGAGCGTGACTGCCGACAAATTGCACGTCAGAAATCGAAAAGCCGACTGCACTTTTCAACGGGCGAGCCACTTTCCCGGCCACGTTCGTTCGTACGTTCGTCGCCGACGGCGGATGTGATTTTTCCGCGAGGGGCGAGGTGGTCCCTCCGGTTTCTCGTCGAGGAGAGACCGGCCGGACGTCACCGATTCCCGCCGCCGGAAAAACAGGAAAATAGTCTCGCGCGCGGGCCGACCTTTCAAGGGCTCGAATTAAAAAGCGAAACGAAGTCCCGGAAAAAAGAAGCCGACAGAAAAAAAAAAGAGAGAAAAGAACGGGGCTAATGGCGGAAAAGAGAACGACGCGAGCGGCGATGCAAAAAGTGTCATTTGCCCCGGCGTGTAGCATTGTTTTGCAGCCGCACTTATGATTCCGTTTTTGCATTTCGGGTCTCTCGCTCGTCCGTTTATTTTGCCGGGCGAACCGGCGGGACGGATAAACCGCTCGGCAAATTACAAATATCGCGTATTCGAAGGATATTCAATTCGGCATGAAAACTCGACGATTGTCGAGCCGGCTGCAACACAATTACGTCGTACAATACCACCGTCGTTTTACGCGGCCGAATTTTCCGGCCTCCAATGAATCGTCCGACCGCAAACGCGATAGGCCTAACACACGCGCCCCCACACACACATACACAGACCCACCCACAATCTGTCTCGATAATTGCATTGATATTCGGCTCGTACGCTCCGAACTGTTCGCTCGTGAAAACGCGATAATTTTTTTATTGTCCCGCATTAAGATTTAAAACGCGAGCGCTGGTGACGTGCGCGATGTTACAAAATGGCTCGATAAAAATTCCACCGCCTTCCGGAATGGAATATGCGAGCGAATGGCCGCTCATCAGGCACGGTCGAACCCGGTCGTTCCGAAATTAGCTCTCGTATTTTCGATCGCCATCGACGAGCGTTATGATTTTTCGACAAAACACGCGCGACCGCATCGACACAAAGCTATAAAATTCAATCACCGCTTACACACCGGCGAGCCGCCGCCGTCGGTGCGTAGTTTCGCGTGTTTCGAGCCGCGCTCGTTGATATTCATTAACGTTAAGTGAAATCCGTTCCAGGTATTTTCCCTTTATTTCGTACGTTAGTGCAACAAGCTCAAAACACGCTTCGCTCGTCGCCCCTGCGCGACTACGGACCTTTCGCGAAATAAATTTTTCACGGAACAAACGCTTCCACTCGGCCAATGTATCATGTTTGAAAAAAAAAAAACAAACAAACAAATAAACAAAGAACGTATGTGCGGGCGCAACAAAACAATTCCCAGAAACTCAGTGAAATTTTTCTCCAGGAAGAATGTATTTCACGCGTATCTCCGCTTGCGATCGGCGGCTTTGAGGAGTATTTAATAATGCATCTCGTAGTCACAACCGTCTCGAACGCGTCTTCATCGGCAACTTTAATGACCTCGACTGATACCTTTTGTATCTACACGACGGCGTATCTATTATCAGCGTCGTAACTCGTTACGATAATTCACAATTCCGTCGAGCTAACGTCTCTCCGGGCACGGGTCAACTAATAAATACACAAATATTCCCCGTAATTCCATTTGAAAAACTCGCATCGTGTTATCACACACAGCCACGGCCGCGGAAATAAGCTTAGTGTGAATTTCCGATGGAAGGAAATCCGTGAAGCGCGCCGCCGAAATCTCCATCCCCCCGAGTTACTGTTTTAACCAACTCCGTACATATTACGCCCGAATGTATAACGCGCGCTCGCTCGTGTGTGTGTGTGTGTGTGTGTGTGTGCATACGGCAACCGCGAATAACGAGTCGCCGACTCGCGAATTTAATCGTTCCGATCTAGCTTATTCTTCCGTCAACGGTGATTCACGATTCGCGCCGGCCGACGTTTGCCGAGGTACATCGGCGCTGTATGCCCAACAGCGGGCATTATTGTTCTAACTGCCAATTATGAATATTCATGGAAGGTCCGCGTGTCGTCGGGCCGGCGAGAGAGCGTCATGCAAACGCGCGGCCGCCCCCATTGTGAAACCCACTACCGTATATTCCACCACGCGAATATGCTTACAAATTGATCTTACGCGCGTTATCTCAAGTCACGGATGCGTTTCACGGGTCGTCTCGTTGAAATCACCCTCTCTACTCCCTCCCCCCCCCTAACCCACCCTTTTTTCTTCTTCCCGTTTTACCGCCGTCGTCGTCGGCGATCGCCGATTCAGCTAGATTTCCCGTGCGCCGTAAAAATCGTCGCGACGATAAAATCTCTCTGTAATTCCGCCGTAATTCGTTTTCACCATCCGCCGAGATTTCATTCGGTCGTTTTAATCCGTTGTCCGCGTGCTGCCCTACCCTCGCGGCCGGCGGACGGAGCGAGATCACGTTCGAATATTAACTTCTTTTCTCTCTCAGCGAAACGGCGAAACCGTCGAAGGCCGCCGGCCTCTACGGTTGTTTCACGGTGTAACCGCATTGCGACTGCTGTTTCGTTATGCATGTAACGACGCTCGAGTTGTTCAGGTTCATGGTCGGGCTGTATTGCCAATTTGGCACGATGTCCGCATTTGTAATTCCGTGAATTATCAATACCGAATGGCCGATCCGTCTGGATATTAGCGCGCTCTACGAATCTATCTGCGATTACCCGCCGTCATGAAGCGACCCCTTCGAGGAGAACTCTCGCTGAACATTTCGCCGGGATCTAACGAGAAATGAAAATTGCACATAATAACGAAGAGAGCGCCTCGGTGCGGGCGTCGGTCCGTCTTCTTTGCGTCTAAACACTGCCGGGAAGCCCGGTAACAAACGCTCGAAGCGTACGACTTTTCACCGCGACGAATTCTCTGGCAAAAGATTTTTTTCACATTTCAATAAATATCCACGGAAAGCACCGCAAATTCCAATGTGTAATGTTCGCACACTCCCATGTACTAAAGTCGTGTGGTTTTTGCGCACGCATTTTTACACATGTTATTTTGCTGCGTACGTTTTATCTGTGTTACTTTTCTAGATAGTTCAGTGAGTACACATTTTACATGCTCGCATATTAAATCGCGCATTAAAAGCGAGTCATTTGAGCGAGTGTAAGGATTTAATATCCTTATTCTCTTTCGTTATTTTCAACAAGAAATATGCGCTATCAATTAACCATAAATGTATCGAATTTTAAAGATAAAACATGTCCTTTTGCTAAATGTGTATTTTTATAATGAACTCGTTGTATTGCAAATTTATATTATTTATGCGATTAAAATGATCCGAAATATTTGTTTTTTTTTAAATTACAAAGAACATTAAAAATTAGATATCACTGGTTAGGGAGAAAATTCTTAGCGTTTTCACCGAACCAGCGGAAAAATGCTAAGAATTTTCTCTCTAACCCGAGACACATTTTCTGACAGTCACGCATAAAAATCACGTGCAAGAGGACCTAAATATGCAAAATTATTTGATATGTATACTTTTTACACACCGATAATAATACTAAATACACATTCCTATACATTTCTACACACTTCGTACTATGTATCGTATTGTACATGGTGAAATGTGTTAAATCGCACGTTTAAACGTGTAGATTTATTCTCTACGCGAAAAGTACGCAATTAAAATTTAATTTATATAAAAAATTTATATAAAAAATCAAATCACACCTGCAAATGTGTAATTTGACACACGCAAGTGTGCGCTTGGATTTGCAATGTGGGAATGATTGACAAAATTGTCGCGATGTTTCACGATCAAAAAAAGACATTAATCCCACTGCGAGGGTCTCTCACGTGCAGTAACGTAAGGAATCGGAAGACCGTTAATTGACTCGTTTGAGGGATGCTCCAGCCCCTGCAACAACCGGATGTTTGTAACGGGTGCATGACGATCGCTTCAGTCACACGCGACTTATCGAAACTGTTTGAAGCTCGAGCGCGCGCGCGCGCGCTCAGGAGTTCATCCCCTAATCCGGTGTCCGAGATTAAACCCAATTTCCCCCGATTTAAGCTGGCGACTCGCTCGTGTCTCTCCCTCTCTCTCTCTCTCTCTCTCTCTCTCTTTCTCACCTTTGCACGGACAAAAACCTTTGCAGGCGATGTGGACGGAAGTGTGGTGAATGCAGTTGTGGTACTCGAGACGGCACGGCGAGCTGTACGTGCGATTGTCGCTGCCGCAAAGGAAGGTAGGCTTCACCACGGGACATTCCTGGCACCTGCAACACAGGAAAAACACGGACGGGTGGTTTAAACACACACGCCTGGGCTGTCGGCGCTCGCCTAGACCAGTTCCCCGGTAAGTGAGACAAAGGACGGTCTCCGTCGAGTGCTCGCGCGAGGGAATATCGAAATTCGATGCTCTCGGCTACAACAGTGCCGCTTGTGAATTTTGTTAAACGACGTGTCACTGGATATCGAGGACGGCGACGACGACGACGACGATAGCTCGCGCGCGCCTCGCTATAAAGCTCATAAAATTTCTCGTGAAAATTTATGAACCCTCGTGGGAGAGGTCGCACGATGCAAATGCCCGGGCGCCATAAGTGCCCGGTTTCCCGCTGAGCTTTGCAGGGACACGCTCGTCGCGCGGAATCGAATTCCGCGCCCGATCGTGACGATTCCGCTCCGATCAAATACATATATACATATACACATATATATATATATATCTCGCCTCGTTAAAAGTCGTCTCTCGCGACTTTCGCGGCGGTGGGACGGGAGAGACGCGGGATATATCGCTTTCCCGCGGTCGAGTGATGAGAAAGTCTGGGAGAGCACCTGTCATCGGAGCGGTCGGCGGTTAGACGATGATAGAGATCAAAGGCGTCGGTCTTCGCGGACGAGCGCTAATCGGCAGGACGGCGCTCTCGGGGATTCGCGCCGGGCTTGAAAAGTCTCGGCGGCCCCCCCCCCCTTCTCTCTCCCGGGTCTGAATAATGAAAAGCCAAGGATGTGCCGGGGAGTCAATTACAGATATGGCCGGGTTTAATCTCCAGAATTGCTTGCCTGCCGTCTAAGCGCGCCATTGTACGTATTATTCTCTGAGCGTGCTCTCTCTTGCCCTCTCCCCCTCTCTCTCTCTCTCTCTCTCTCTCTCTTACTTCGACCGACGTTTCACGGCCGCGTGCGCCCGCTTCGCCTTTTGTGCCCCGCTAATTCCGATACCGGTGAGAGAATTTCCAGCCCTCTCTCGACCCTGCGGGCCCCTCCTCGCGAGTCGGAAATCCCGCTATCGGTGCGCGGTAATCCTGCCGAATTTCACAGCTAGGAGAAATAAGATGTTTCATTTCGGGAACATCCAGAGGAGGGAGGTGCGCGAATAAGAATGTACAACGACATGCCGTTTCGGCCGACCGTTTCGAAGGGATTATTCGCGATCCGCGCGAATATCGGGGTGCGTTCACAAGCGCACCCCCGAATCTGCACCCCCCGGGAGCAGATTTGAAAGCGGCGCGACAGAGGAAATTCAAAGCGATCGCGTCCCCAGGAAATGTCACTTTGAAGTTGTTTAAGACAACCCGTCGATAGTTGTTCGAGAACGTCGCTCGTCTCCCCCGGGTAGAAACTTCATCGGGGCGTACCCTAAGTCTGTAGGACTTTAGGTAGGAATGCCTCAAAACATGCCTGCCTTCGTTGGGCCTAGATAAGATCAAGGGGGTCAAAAAAGGCAAATTCGAGAATACAAGCCCTGCATAAGCACTAACTTTTAACAAGGTCTACGCGCTCTTATGACCCAATCAGAGTCTAGTCAGTCAATTCCTAAAATATTTCAAAGTGAGGCCTCAAAGAGACATAAGCACAATTCACCGTAACAAGGGAGAAATAACAGCAAATTGACTAACTTTGGTTCTAAAAAAAAATCGCGTTTAAGTGGAAAATTTAACAGAAACAGGCTACAAGCACGAATTTGAATTCTTTTATAAACCGACGAACAATATCAAGAAATCGATAACAAGATACGGCCTAGTCAGTCATTACTTACACATTGAACTATACAACAAACTGGAAGGGGAGCACTGTTCCTTATTCCCGCCAGATGACTTCGTGCCAAGAGAAACAGTATCTAAATAACATCTCTCACTGTGTGTCCATCTTGATCTTATCTGAGTTTTTATAGAAATGAAATTATTACTTAGAACATGGCCTTTGCCTTACAGACACACGGTCCCCATCACGCCAGTGCTCCTTCCAGTATGTTACATAGTTCAATGAACTTACCGAGATAGGGCCTGATTTACGAGCGTTTCACTTATCTGTAGGGCCCAAGTGGACTTGCCTCTACAAGATCTCCAGATGGAAGTGAGAAAAAAATTGTATAGGACCTTTCCGGTCTCTCGTTTTAAATTTCTACCCGGGTCGTTAAATCCGATACGAGCGAGTCGTCGGTCGGCCGTCCGTCCGTCCGTCCGTTTCCATGCAGACAGTTTCCGGGCGACTTCGAGTGAAAAGTTCTCATCCACGTCTCGCGCGCGCAGTGTGCGAGAATTTTTCGAGCGAGCGAGCGCGCTCGCTCGTAAGTCGTGGGAGAGAACGCGCGCGGGTTACGTACGCGTAATACGGCGGGGCCGGATAAACCGGGGAAGCCGCAGAGACAACCGAGATACGAGCTAACGTAGACGCTGGGTCCGCTTCACTTTGATAAAGGAGTTAAACCGGCTTAATTACCGCGTTACTCGGTTTAAACTAATTACGCGTTTGCACGCGGCCACAAATTCTCGAAGCGGAACGTAGAGACGCCATTGTGGTCGAATGCGCCTTGCCGGCGGGCCTCGCGGAATCTCCTCCGCGTCGGGTGGAAAGACCCCCCCCCCCCNCCCCCCCCTCCCGCCGACATCGTAAGAGGAAAGCGTGAGCAGCGCGTTAACATCGTGCATCGACGTTAATCGTCCGATAATTCGATGAACAATTTTCGACGTGCTGTCGCAGCCACAGCGATTGTTAGCCCGGTTGAGTTTCGCGGAAACGGAAATTCGCCTCGTATCAAATTAATTGTTAGCCGCTGCGCTCCTTCCCCTCCTCCCTCTCAATCTCCGCCGGTCGTGCGTGCTCGGCGCATTGGTGCGTGCGATACGCGGCGGAACGGTGTGTATTTAAATATCATATTTTACGAACGTATTGCGATCACACACGCCCGTTCGCTCGTGCGCGCTCGGTAAAATGAGCAGAAACGAGCGCGGCGGAGCGAGACGGTCCACCTCGTGGATGAAAGACGAGAGTGGAATCTACGGGGCGAGGCCGATTTTATCATCCGCTAATTGACGAGTGACTTCGAAACGCCTCGCCGCGTAGAAATTTTCCCGGATTTTCCCGGACACGGGGTAGATTCCGATTAGAATACGTCAAGTTGTCCCAAAATAGGTTATTTCATTATTAATACTAATTGGGAACCCAATATGTCACCTATTGCGTTTGTTACAATATCTTTCATCGCATTGCGTAGTTATATTTCATTTAATCGCTGGTGGAATATCTGGAATATTTTTTTATGACAACCTTGTGATATTATAGTGCAATGAGTACTTTTTCACACAGGGAGTACAAAGGATGAATTATTGGAAATCATTTTTTTTTTCTTTTTTCGAGAAATGAATGACATTAACTAGAGATACCTTTTGGTATAAAATATTTGTTATACTTTATTTAACTTATACGAGATATATTGAAAAAAAAGCGATAGCTTCCATTTTTGAGAAGTGGTTTCACTGCTTCAAACAGTGTTTTTTCATCCCAACTGAACATTTCTAAATTCATCTATTCATCCGACCTACATTTATGCCGAGCTACATGAAAATCCGAATTTTCGGGTTCGCGAGGTTTCCTTGTTAGAATCGTATGTTTGTGAAACATTTATACTTCTAACCAGAACTTGCGTACACAGTAAACAATTTTGTGTTAAACTTAACACATTTTGCATTTTGTCCCAAGCGGTCCGCACAAATTTCGGTGTCCATTTAACACAAAGTGAATATGTTGAAAAGTGACGCAAATATGTCGAAAAATTAACACAAGATTAATATCGTTAATTGACATTAAAGTATAAAATATATTACTTTAACACTCACACACGCATGTTAGATATCGACTCAATACAAAATATTGAGGTATTTAACACAATATGTTAAATTAACACGCGGTATGTAAAAAATTTAACACAAAATTCTTAACGAGGGCCGATTTTAACACAACAATACAAAATGTTTTTTTACCGTGTAGATATCCCAATCAGAATCCACTATTATTTAGGAAAATCGTGCTGGATCCCAATTAGACCCCGGGAAATGTTCTATGTACGAGTTGAGAATTTACACATTCTCGCGAGAACGCTCGCTTCCCGGAATTGGGATCGCTCGTCGATCGCCGATTTAATTTGGCGCTTCGGCGGCCTCTTTTTCCCCCCTCGCGGCGACGGAACACCCGGCGAGAGGACAAATCGTGTAATCGGAGAAGTGGAAAGGCGTGGTAGGTAGTAATGCACATGCCAAGCCGCCTTTAATCCTCCCCAGCTGTATTGGGGGCCAGCCGGCCGAGCGAAGCCTGTGAGAAGCTCGAAACTTTCGTCAGGTGGCACTTGAACTTTATCGTGTCTACTTTGGATGTCCAGGATAACCCATTACCCTCTCTCGGCGATACTTTCGCAAACCTAAATCCAGAAGTTGAAACAAGATCGCGGGGGTTCGGAGCGGAGAATGTAAAAAAGTGTCATTTAAAAGGAGGCGGGTGTCCTGATGTACAACGCTGAAATACAAAATATGGGCGGGTGGGAGGGNGAGGGAGGGGAGGAACAGGCTTGACAAACTGGATTCCGGCGACATAATATCGGCCATTTGTATGACTCGCGCGAGACTTCAACGTACGCGCCGTGCACGAGGTCTAATTAAAAATCCGCCGGGCGAAATTAATATCGCAAGACAGCATTTTTAATTAATCGCCCGACGGTCTCTGTACATGTGCGTTATATCGTTCGCCGAGTCGACCGAGCGCAGAATGTGCGAGACGGAGCGCGCGGCGAAACACAATTAACCGCCGCTGATTATATCGATATTAATTAGATCGGGCTCTCTCGCAGCTTTTAAATTCGCGGGGCTGGAGGGGATTATTTGCCGATATTAAATCATCGTAGACGAGGCACGAGGAAAGATCAACCCTTTGTCTCGCGTAGCGGCAAGTCTCGCGGATCGCGGCGCGAGAATCCCTTTCGCGAATTAAGAGACCGAGA